ACAGAGGATCCTCTTCCCCTCCCTCCCTCCCTCTCCCGCCCTGCCGCCGCTGCCGGAGCGTCCAGGTGGTGTCCTCCGCTATTGTCGACAAGTACATCGGGGAGTCCGCTCGCATCATTCGGGAGATGTTCGGATACGCCAGGGAGCACCAGCCGTGTGTCATTTTCATGGATGAGGTGTGGGGGAGGGGAGGGGAGGGGAGGGGGCGTGGGATGTGGGAGGGGAGTTTAGGGGTTAAAGGGGGGGAGGTTTCCTTCCCTTTTGTAAAAGGAGGTGGAGGAGGAGGAGGGTAGAGGAAGGCTGACTTACTGACGATTGGGAGAGGGAATGGAACACCCGGTATGGGTGGCCAGAGGTCCTTGCTTGGGAAAGGAAGGGGAAAAGCGGCGGCTGCAGCGGCGGGGGGGGGTAAAGGCAGGGGGTGAATAGCAGCGGGGGTGTGGGTCTCAGGGGGCCCCAGGTGTATGTGGGCGGGTAGAGTGTGTCGCGCGGGTGGTGTGTGTGTGTGTGTGTGTGTTTATCGCGATGTTGTTCGCTGCAGCAGCTGGTGCTGATGGCGCCGCGGACCATTCTCTGTACGTTTTCCATATGTATGTTTCCCTCAGTATCGCTGCTGCCATTGCTCTGGTGTGTGTGCATGTCTGTCTGTCTATCTGTCATCCCGTCTGTTTTCGTACTTAAAAATGCGTACATCTCGCGCATCCGCAAACACTCGCACGGCTCTTATGGACGGCCCCCGGCAGTCGATTGACGCTTTGGACGTCGTACGACAGTCCTTACCGCGGTCCTGACTGCTGCTGCTTCCTGCGTCATATCTTCGTACGTGATTCGCCGGGGGACCCCCCTGCCGCCGCCTTTTGCTTTGTGTGTCATCAGTTATTTTGTTTAAACGTCAACTACGTGATGTTCCCCCCAATCCGCCACTCCCCCAAAAACCCCCTATGCCTCCTTTACTTCTGGCGCATCAGTCTTTCCTTGGCATCAGCTTCACGCGCTCGTGGTTCGTCTCCCCCTCCCCTCCCCTCCCCTCCCCCCCTTGGTACACTCTTGCCATGGCAGCAGCTTCA